GTTTATCACTTTGCGTCATTACCAACATGGCTGTTTTGTTGTCATATATTTTCTTTAATTGAATTAGATTTTTAGGGAGGAAAGACTGGGAAGATTGATTAGATTAGTTTAATTAAAGTAATTAAACAAAACCCATGGAATAGTCTTGTGCTCGATTCCGGTTTTCCTTGTGTGAAGTTTTTTAGGTTTGTTCATCATTAGGAATGCATTAGATGAAAAAAAAAAACACAGAAATGAGAGCAAAGGAAAGCTACAGAAAAAAAAGAATATATATATATATAAAGAAAGAAAGAAAAGAATGCAGAAACGGAAAAAAAGGGAAAAACAAAAAAAAAGAAAAAGAAAAAGAAAAAAAGAAACAATAGAAACAGGAACGAGGAAAAAGGTAGATGATGATGAATAGTATTTGTTTAATTTTTTTGACTTTTTTTTTGGGTAGTTATTATTGATAAATAAAAAAAGAAGAAACAAAATAAATAAAAAGGGAACGGCAAAACACAATAATGGGGTTTTGAAGTTTTTGTTTTTTTGTTGTTTTTTTTATTTTATTTTATTTTATGTTATTGGGTAATTATTATTATTATTTTGATATGTAAAATTGAAAAGTTCTCAAAATTAAAGTATGTGGTAACCATATTATTTGGAAGTTGTGGGGTGCCTAACACCTTCCCCATGCTTAACCGACCCTCCGAGCCTAGTCAATTTCTGCGTAAACCTTGGTGATCTATCCTATCTCATTTGGATAGATGGCGACTCCATCCATTTTGGCACGTCAATAGTTTGATGACTCCACTAAGGACCATTGAGGGGTCAACCCATTTATACTTTAATTTTGGGGTTTTTCAATTACTAACTTTTGTTTTATAGGTGGCATGGAGTATCTTGTAAGTTTTTTATTTTATTTTATTTTATTTTATTTCTTGTTATTTTATATTTTGTTATTTTCATATGTTAACTTTGTGTATACTCCCTCACACACCTCACTTGCATATCATTTTTGTCCTTGACGAGGTGAACTCGACCTCTAGATAGATGGATAACTCATGGAGCAATGAAAAGTGCAATGCTTTCTTTGTGAAGTGAGATTTATCCCTTTTAGGTTCATTTTGTGGGTTAATATGGCCTGACAGCCATAATGCTGCTGCTCTATTAGGTCATGAAATGCCTCTTGTTAACTCTATAGAAGTTGGCAATTGTTGACTTTATGGAAGTCAATAATTGTTGACTTATGGAAGTTAGCAATTGAAAAAGCCTAATCGTATAGGATCCACTAGGAAACCGCATGTAATGGACTTAGACAAAACTTAACCCTAGGATGGCCAGCCTAATAAATTACCTTCAAAGTCTAAGAACCTTATACATAGGACACGTCGAGAGTATTTTATTTTTAAACAATGATTTTGTGTTTCTTAGGTGAGGAATTCAACCAATAGGTATGGCATTCATTAACTCTTCTTTTTCTTTTTTTCAATAGGTAATTGATTATTTTACACATGGATTCTTTGGGAAAAAAAAAACAGTAAGGGAAAAAGGATGAATTTAGAGTTAGAATGTCTGTCATTATCCAAGAAGAACAAGTTACACAAGGATGGATTCTCTGTGCAGACCAAAAGACCTTGTGTAAAAGACTTGGTTGTTGCTTGGAATAGTTTGAGTAATCTTGACAAAGTGAATTTTACTAGTTGAGAAAAAGCAAGTTCCTCATTAAAAAGAAGAAAAGATATGAGGGAGGCAATCTTCTCATTATTTTTCTTTTACTTAAAAAAAAAAATCTAAAAGATCATGAAGGGGGCAATCTCCTCAGGTTTTTGGCTAGCATGACAATTGCTTGGCTCTAATTTCTCATTCCCTTTACATACAAATGGCTGAAGTTGTTCTTGACAATGAAGAATCCATGTGTAAAAATAGAAATAAATAATTAGAAGTTAGGTTTACTAGTTAATGGGAACTTTGGGAACTTATCTTTCAAAATACCAATTAGATAAATTCATGATTTGTTAATAATGCTCATATTTTCTTTAGGTGTTGAAAGATTGGTCCTAAAAAGAATTATCCAAGAGTTCATTCACCTATTCTCACTAGAGCTCTTGCAAGGAAGATGGTTGACGAAGCTAATTTAGAGAAGGTTGCTTTGGAAAATCGTGTTGAAAATATGGAAAATACTTTGAAGGAATTGATGGCTTCCTTCCAATCTCTTCAAGCAACCTTAGTCACAAGGGCACCTTTGACAACAAATCCCTTGTTTGAAGGAAATGTTTCTGTGGCAAATCTCCCTAGTGCCACATCTACTCTTGGAAAGGAGCCAATGCCAACCAAATCCAACTATTGGTGGAACTTCTGGGACAAAGCCATTTATTTTAAATGCTGGTGTTGCTACAGTTCAATCTAATGATCAAGAAGAGACTCAAGTTGTCAAGTCAATCACAGAGGATAAAGACAAGGCAATTAAAGCGAAGGTGCAGTTGATGGAGGAAACACTAAAATCGATGCAAGGTGTCCAAACTAATAAACCGGTTGACATCTCATCTTTGTGCTTTTTCCCAAACATTCAACTACCCCATAAGTTTAAATTGCTTGAGTTTGATAAGTACAATGGCACTGGTTGTCCTTATGCCCACTTGACGATGTATTGTAGGAAGATGGCTCCTTATGCCAATGACGAGAAGCTAATGATACATTACTTTCAAGACAGTCTGACAGGTCCTGCAGATGCTTGGTTTTCAACTTTAGACAAGAGTAAAGTTAAGAGTTGGCATGATTTGACTCACAACTTTATGAAGCAATATGAATACAATACGTCATTAGCTCCTAGTAGAGAGGATCTTCAAAAGACAGAAAAGAAACGAAGTGAGAACTTTAAGGAATTTGCTCAGAGATGGTGTGGATTGGCTGCTCGAGTTCAACCTCCACTGACCGATCATGAATTAAGTAATTTATTCATCAAGTCAACCAAAGGACCTTATCGTGAGAAGTTAATAACTTGTGTGAATGACACTTTTGCCCAGTTGGTTGTTGTGGGAGAACAAGTGGAGGATGGAATCAAGTTTGGAATTATCATGGATTATCAAGCAATGAAGAGTATCCTTGAACAATACCAAAATGATAGTTTAGGGGTTTCTAGTTCAAAGAAAGTGGGTCAAAATCAAAACAAGGAGAATGAGAATGGTACTATAAGCTCAGTTTATGAAACATATGGGAGACATAATCAGCCACGTCCTCAAGGGCAATTCAATAATTCTTTCCAAGCTCCAACTTATCAATTGATAGTTTGTTCAAGTCAGCCAAGGCCACTTTATGCCTTTGGTATCAATTGTCCACAACAAAAAGTGAGACGACATTTCGACAAGCTTCCTTTATCATACACTGAAGTGTTTCAACAGTTGATAGTAGCTAGTCTTGTTACTCCCGTACCTATGGTGCCATTAAATCCACCATTTCCAACATGGTATAACCCACAAGCAAGATGTGAATACCATAGTGGAGGTGTTGGACATGACCTTGAAAATTGTCTTGCTTTAAAGCATCGTATCCAAGATCTGACAGAGGCAAAGGAGTTACAGATTACATCAAAACCCGAACTTGTTGGTCCAAATATCACTAAAAACCCCCTACCAACACACAATAGTTCAACAGTCAATATGATCGAGAAGGATTTTGAGGAAAGTCAAGAGGTGGCTACAGCTACTTTCACCAATCAAGTTTCATCAACTCCTAGATAGCCTTTAATATTGAAGGGACTAGCGCTTACAGTTCCACTCAAACAAGGTTGATCTTAGAACTGGTATTGATGAGGGCTTGAATAAGTGAACAATGGAGTTTTTCTATTACTATCAGTTTGGAATAAAATGTGTCCAGCATGTTAGTTTTCATTTGCATTTTCCAAACTCCTTTCATATTGCAATTTGAATCTTTGTTCTTCATGTTTTAATTCATAGTTTTTCAATTCTTGATTTTATACTTCCATGAGTTCAATTGTTAATGAACTTGAATTCAATTTTGAACCTCATAAAGAAACTTGAGGCTTAAGGAAAGAGGAAAGTTTGAGAAACGAGGGAAGTGACTGAGGGAGAAATAATGGATGAGTAGGAATGAGAGAAATGTACAAAGAGAAATTGATCTCATAATTTGAAACAAACATTCCTATGATAGAAAGCTTGAGAATCCTTATCCTTACCATTTGAAACCTTTGCCAAGGAATCATATTTAAGAATTGCCACAAATTGCACAAAACCAAAAAAAAAAAAGAAAAAAGAAAAGAGAAGATGATGAAAATGATGGAATGTTTGCTAACTTTGTTAGGTGATTGTTATTATTTTGATGCCTATGGTAGAAGATCCAAGGATAAAAGGCCTTCCTTTTGAAACTCTATTCCCTAAACCTTGAAAGATTACCCTTAGTTAAAGACTTTGAGCTTAATTTCAATGAACATTCTTTCATGACCAATTCAACAAC